CACCGTACGCCCCCGTACGCGCGTTAGTAGACTGCATTATGTCCCAGTTTTGGCAGAGATCCACCGCTTCTTTGCTCACAAGTTGCTGTTGTCAGCTGTGAATGCGCCGTATTGCCGGGCAATGATAGCCGCTGTTTTGGCTCAGGATAAATTTCAGTTTAGACCTTCATGCTCACCCTTTTGCCTGCTCGCGGGCACCCGTTTGGCTGCTCACGGGTGAACGTTTGATTGATCACGGGTGAACGTTTGATTGATCACGGGTGATAGTTTAGCTGCTCACGGGTGCTAGTTTGACTGCTCACGGGTGCTAGTTTGACTGTTCACGGGTGCTAGTTTGACTGCACACGGGTGCTAGTTTAGCTGCTCACTAATGCCTGTTTCGATGCTCGCGGGTGCCCTTTCTGATGCTCACGTGTGCTAGTTTGGCTGCTCGCGAGTCCCCGTTTGCCTGCTCGCGCGCACCCGTTTGATAGCTCACGGGTGCCCGTTTGGCTGCTCACGGGTGCCCGTTTGACTGCTCACGGGTGCCCGTTTGACTGCTCACGGGTGCCCGCTTTGATGCTCACGGGTGCCCGCTTTGATGCTCACGGGTGCCCGCTTTGATGCTCACGGGTGCCCGCTTTGCTGCAACCTGGTGCCCGCTTTGATGCTCACGGGTGCCTGTTTGGCTGCTCACGGGTGCCCGTTTGGCTGCTCACGGGTGACACGTTTCACCACCCGTTATCAGGTCACCTGTCACGCCTTGGTAATCGACTTACTCGCGCAGGCGCCAGTTGTCCTTTTCGTGACCCCGCATACTGGAGGCTGTTCCGTTGTTGCCGCTAACTTGTTTACCACGTGGCGGAAGAAAAGATGTTTTTTTTTCTTCTGGCAGTCCAATCATCCTCATAATCTTGTTAGGAATGAATGTTATCAATATGGTAGAATAATATTGGTGCCGTTTTGCAATATTGTCATTATAATGCATTGAACTCCAGCTCTAATATTAATTTGTTTTATTAGTCGAAGTTTGAGCAATATCCCTTTTTTTTCTCCGACGTCTGGGGAAGGCTAATCCGACTTGAAACTTGACACGTTGTCAGTGACGCCTGCGTCAGACTGTGACGACGCGGTTATGTTTTGTGTGCATCGAAATGTTCGCCTTCAAACGCCTCCTGTGTTTCTTAAAACTAAGCCATGTGCATTCAATTTTCAAGTGGATTTGATTGAGTGAATTTTTTAATTTTTGTCAATGTCGGGGGAGAGTTTTATTAATATTTAGGTAAAATTTATGTAAAATCAATTTCACAAACGAGATAGATTAATGGATTTTAAATGATGCGTTGCGCTTTCATATGATATCATGAATGCAAATGTTTATATATTTTCGCAATGTGTTCCTAAATAATGTAGTTGTAAAGGCATTCGTCAACGCAATATAAAACGAATTGGGCGGTCACTGCAATTTATTGGCCGTGAAGACAAGATTAATTGCCTCGCCTCATCGTCAGACTCGAAGTTAAATATTTGCTACGTCAACCGCCAAGTCCTGCCATTGTTTTTACTCTTCGCTCAGAGAAATGAGTGGCACTTTGTCCAAATAGCGATGCACTTATAGTCCCTCTGTAGGATCGATAGTCATCGATCTACCAAGTTTTGTTAGGTAGTATGGTGTCAGGTCTGAGTGTAGAAAGTGTGTCGATATCTGGACAATACGACGAATTCATTTTTTTAGTGTTTGTCAAAGTCGACTGTGAATATGCGGCGATCAGAGTTGCGATTGCTTGCGAAATGCATTATAATTATGTGGATATTGTGGGATTAATTCCCCCCAAAATGATAAGATGCCATTGTTATTATTAGATGAATAAAATTGTTGACGCGGGGTCTCCAGTGACTTACGATCATTTCATTGCTGTATATTATTTCAATGTCGTATAGTATATGATGACATTACACGTTTCATGTATTAAATCATTTATTTCGGGTCATAAGCTATCAAACCGGAACTAGGAAGAGAAAGTATCGTCCGAGTAATATATGAAGAAATATAAGCATTTGAATTTATGGAAGCGGCCTCTAAGATTGAGAAACATGAAGCGTCCTACATGCATTTTACTGACCTGTTGACGTTCAACATAACCCGCTAGCGCCTTCTCGTAGACTAATGGCTTCACCCTTAGCTGTACGTATGTCATAATTTGCCGTTCAATGGCGGTAAAAAAAATTTAATTTTAATATTAACCCAATTTCGCATGCGCGTCTCATTCATATAAGCAGTTTCATTTGCGGGTTAGCATTCATTTGCGGCTGAATTCGAAACTGATTGTTGGGTTTCGCAATCTAGTCCATGCTTATGGGCCGAGGTCATCGATGAAAATTTGATGCCTTGAAGATGACGAAGAATCAAGAAATTAATTAATGTATGAAATCATCTGGGCAAACGGCCCGAGTTTTTTCCCCGTTCATATGGCATTAATTGATTCAGAAGATCGCTTCTGTGCCGTGTTTTTGCTTTATTTTCTTCAGAATGTCGACTGGCACTTTATGGATGATCTTTGTCATGGTCAGCTGCCTTGTTTCTCGAGGAATCAAATTATTCATTATATTACTGGTTTTTACCTGATCATATAAATTACTGGTATATACTTATGCTGAACGCCGTGCTGAATACACTCAGGAAAATTAACAAGTTGTATTGTAAAAAATTTACCCACTTTTTAACCACCCCCAGCACGAACGCACAACGGAGGTAGCTGTGATACGTCTAAAGTGGGTCTGTGTGACCCATTCAATGGCTTGAGTTTGTTGAGCTACTTGAACAAAGTCTCGCGCATTACTTTGGATATATAGGACAAATTTTTTTTGTCATATAGGACAAATTTTTTTAAGAACTGCAGTCGACGTACGCGTTCCTTGAACACGGAAGTGGTGATATTTTTATTTTGCACTGCACTTCGTCTTCAATCACGATACGGTACTTAATTACGTACGTGACTATATATACAAGACTTACGTGATTATATATACAATACTTGTGTGACTATATATATATATATATATACACACAAGACTTGTGTGACTATATATATATACAAAATACTTGTGTGACTATATATATATATACAAAATACTTGTGTGACTAGATATATATAAGGTTGCGTGGCTCAAATTATGTCCAATGCCAAATAATTTGGATCAATTGACCAGTTATCACTAAAATATTCTGCGCAGTCAAGTTGTCTAGGAAATTTCCCCAAGTTTTACTCTTGATCAACTTAGAAAAGGCCAACTTCGGACCTTTTTGATATTTTAATTTTTATATTTCACATGGCCGCATACTTAATTGTAGAGTGAGGCAGTACACAGAAATGAAAAAAAATATAACTCAGTACTCACTGCAGTGAGTACTGAGTTATATTTATTTTTGTTCAGGGATAGTGTTAGTTATCTTTTCCCGCAGGTATGGAGCATATTGTCCATGTACGTGTGGGACCTTCTCCCCACTTGTATCTAGGGCCTTTTCTTGCAATTGGTTGCGTCCTTGCTAAGAGGGACCGAAGCATCAATATTGAATAAATTGCTGCTCAATATGTCATAATTATTGCTGCTCAATAAATTCAATAATGCTGCTCAATAAATTCAATAATGCTGCTCGATAAATTCAATAAATTGCTGCTCAATAACTCTTCAATTAATGCATATCTTTACATCATTGATGGCATTTAATTCGGGACATGAGCGTCGACGTTGCATTTTAATCAGCTAGTGGTCCTATTTTGTAAACGATGGCAAAAAATGATAGCGAACCATAGAGACCGGCCAAAATTGATACCGTAAAATGGGGTAACTTAGACCACTTTTTTTTATAAATGATGCCATTTTTTTACTAGCTAAATTAAACTTGAATTGAAACATGCAAAAAGGGCCTCTCTCTTACTTTCTTCCATAAGTGGGACCAACCTGATATATTTGGGTATATCATTGCTATGTATAGGGCATCGCTATCATGTGTGGGGCCCCTCACCATGTCCGGGGCCTCTCTCTAAGTTTCTTCCATAAGTGGGACCTACTTGATATGTATTGGGTATATCATTGCCATGTGTAGGACTTCCCTGCCACTTGCGGGGCCTGCCTGCCATGAGTATATAGCCTCTTTGTCATGACTGATGCCTCTACGCCATGTGTGAGGCCTCTTTATCCCGTGTTTGAGTCCACTGCACCTGATTTAAGGATCGTATTACCTTCTACCTTTTTTCATGTTACATTTTTATCTTTTTAGCGCATTTTCTCATTTATGAAAAAAATGCACTATTGTGCTCGCCATGTCCGTCCGTCCGTCTGTCCGTCCGTCTGTCCGTGACTCCGTTACCTCAAGTTTTTGTCGACGAGAAAATGCGCGCTCTGTGACTCACTGCAGTGAGTACTGAGTTATATTTATTTTTGTTCAGGGATAGTGTTAGTTATCTTTTCCCGCAGGTATGGAGCATATTGTCCATGTACGATTGATAAAAACCGGCGCTAATTGCGTTCAATCATCGAACATATAAAGTTATTTTCACGATTCCTTTCTTTTCAGATTGAGTTATGTCTTATCCGCTTAAAAGTTTGGCTTTAGTTTAACTTTTACTCCAGCCAAATGTGATGCTTATGTTGTGAAGACGCGTGGAGGTTTTACCATTTAATCAAATATGGTTGTGCTAAAGAAACTTTTTATACAGAAAACAAAGAATTCGTTGAATGCTATAGTGGAAATCGAAGGCACACGACACTAAGTTAGCGTTGAATGGGTAATTGAAGGTCGGATAGATTAGAAGCTTTAGGAGCCGTACATTTAAGAATCAGCAAGGAAAGTACAGCCGAAATATCTTCTTTCTTTGGGAGAAATTTCCTCTCGAAGTGCCGCTCAGTAAATGAGCGCTCAGGTGAAAAGTTACGTTTTCAGTGAAATCATACCTGTAAATTTTCATGAAAAAACTTTTCAACGCCTTTTTTTATGAACCGAAATTTTCTGCTGAATTTTTTCTGAATTCATCAGTGAAATCAAACCTGTAAATTTTCATTAAAAAACTTCTTCAACTCCTCTTTTTGTGGACCGAAATTTTCTGCTCGACCATCTTATTTCATCTACTGCAACCAGCAATGTTGACTGAAAATTCCAGCTTCAACTTCTCACGAGGATTACACATCAATCTAATCAAAGAGTGAAAAAAATTTAATTTAAGTTAATTGTTACGAAATAAATTGCTGTCAGTTGCACGATGACTGTCACCTACACACATGAGGTCGCGGACTGCAAGGGACTTGGGTGCTTCTGGAAGCTACTTTTCAGGCGAGTTACCCCTTATAACTAATTATTTTTCAGGCGAGTTACCCTTTATAAACAAAATTTTTCAGGCTAGTTACCCCATATAACTGCCGGTAATTATTTTACTGGCAAATCATCCCTAATAAGTAATTTTTTTGACAAGTTACTCCTTTTGAACTAAATATTTTTCAGGCGAGTTACCCCATATAACTAATTATTTTTCAGGCGAGTTATCCCTTATAAATTATTTTTTCAGGCAAGTTGCCCCATTTAAACTAATTATTTTTTCCGGCGAGTCACCTGTTATAGCTTATTATTTTTAGGGTGAGTTATCCCAATTACTAATTATTTTTTAGGCGAGTACCCCTTATGACAATTTTTTCAGGCGAGTAACTCCTTGAGAATAATTTTTTAGATTGTTAATTGTGAACTAGATTCCTCCCTTGGAAAATATATTGGTAGTACTTTAAATTGTTCCTATTTCGCTGGTGATTCTAGTTTCATTCTGTGTAATAAAAGTTTCAATAAAATAATTATAGTTAGGGTTATTCCAACTTGGAAGAGAAATCGTCTTGTTTTGGTTTAATTTATTATTTTATTCTTTTGTAGTCATCCTGTATTATTCATTCAAGCGCACAGCAATTAATATTTGTCACTTTCCGAGGAAGAAAAATTTTTCATATAAACGCGTGTTATGTAGAGCCTTTTAAAAGTTAGATTAAAGCCCTTATTAAGTCACGGAAATGCATTCTTTCTCGTCATGCATGCTCGTTTTGACCAATCATAAATTTTATGGATTTTTCTTCGTGAATAATAATATTGAACCCATGATTTTCCATCTATTCCGTATAAATTGATTTTTTACTTATCCTTTATCCGATATATTATCCGCCTCTCATCTAGCCCGTATTATTTCATTTTGATTATTATTATGTACATAACTATTGAGGCCTCTCTCTCAACTGCTTTATGGTTCTTAAATTGTTTTTCTTTCATCTTACGTATTTTTTTAATTGTCCTCTAACTAAGATTACTATAAATACGGAGTTGTCCATCAACTGATAGATGAAGTTATAATTTATTGTATTTACATTTTTTTCATGCTTGTTAGCGCTTCACAATATTATTTGTAAACGTTTAATATGATTTTCTTCTGCTATTATATAGATGGAGAGGCAGCATCTACAAGCTCATCTGGCCAGATCTACTTCTCTACTCAGTGATGTACTTCTCGCTCTCATTCATCTACCGCTTCGCTCTCGACGACAGTGGTAGACTGTGAGTTTTCTACCATTTATTTGTTCTCGAGTTTTTACCGTTAACAGAATTTGAGTTTTGTGAAACGTTAGTCACAATTGACTGTCTAATTATAACAAAATCTTGGTTGCTACAACTTGCAGCTTGGACGACTGGAATTAAAAATATCATCTCCTGCAGTGCCTAAAAAGCGTATTTGTGCATTTAAATGAAATGAAAGTTTAAATTTAATTGAATATAAATAAAACGCATAATTTCCCATTTGGCAAATGTTTTAATTTGAAAATGTCAGCTTGACGTCAGCCATTGCCCAGCTCCTTAAGCGTAAAATTCTAATTTATTCACATCACTTATTTTGTTCAATTTTTCGTCATCGCTTCAAACTTCGTCTTTGTTTCGTGAATTTTAAGTCCCGTCTTGTGTAGCGTGAGTCATACTCATGTCATAATTAATCGATACCATTCATTCTTTTTTAAACTCGCGTATCCTCTTTATTCAACAGAGATATAAGCCTAAACTTTTTCCTTGCAATAATCCTATTAAAAATACCTGTTAAATCCTGTTGAAAATACCGGTTAAATCCTGTTTTCTCCCAAAATTTCTCGCGGGAAGCGAGAGGGGCCGAGCTGGAATATTGAAGGCGTCAATTCAACAGAGGCGCTATTTTCCGCCCTTGCGTCGTTAATATTCATGACTAATTTGCCGAAATAAGGTTAATTTTCTCCCGGCGATCGGTTTCTCTAAAGCTCCTTGTTGTTTCCAGGGCCAGGAATATATTTTTTCTCTTGCGTCAATATGAAGAAGGCGGCTTTGTCTTCCGCGTCTACGGTAAATGCTGCGAGTGTCAGGAATTATCACGATCCATAAAAACGAAAATTAATTAACATTGGAAATTATTAATAATAAACGGGGAAGCATATTTTTAGGTAAATTTCAATTTTGTTTGCAGAATAGGGAAAAGCATTGTATTTATCGTCAGTATTCGGTAACATGCATTCCGCATCTTTAAATATTGTGATTTTTTATATTTTGTCGGGCCGAAACCGCACAGTCTCCAGCATGTTATGTAACGAAGTCTTTTGTCCTCGGATACGGCGAGCGTCGTCGATGATATCCGAATCCAAAAATCTGATAAAAAGTTTCCATCCTTAGTGTTATTCGTATCTTTAAACTAGATAAGGACAGTAACTGTCGTGAAAACTATTCATTTGTGGAGACCTGAAAAGTACAGTTACTGTCTTCAATGCGATCCGTACGTATTCAACGGCCTGATAAATTCAGTTACCGTCTTTAATGCTATTGGTATCAAATAACCAGATAAATTGGGCAACAGTCGCTAGGCAAAGAGTTAACTGTAAATATCTCTGACAAGAACTGCAACTGTCAAGCCGCGTCCGGAATTCGATCTTGACCCTGAAACGGTCCCCCCTGAAATGGCCCGTTACGTTGAGAACTGTCGCCCAAGCCAAGCATGCTGCAAAAATCCTCACCCACAACCGAATTACTTTGACCTTATCCATTCATTGGAGATTTAAGCCTGTTATTATCAGAGGTTCTTGATTAAAATGCGACGTTGGGGTAATTCTTGCATGCGTTGAATTTGCGCGTTGTGTTCATTATAATTTGAGCAGAGAAAATTCCAAATTCGTTATGAGTGCCTATAACAATTTTTTGCCTTAATTAAATGTTGAAATTAGCTTGAAGACTTACCCGTTTTATTGCTTTAAAAAACGATAGTGAATTTATTCGACGTCATTCAGTAGTCCATGTTTGCATGGTCTCGCCTGACACTCGCGTACATATTTAATATTACGATATCAGTTGCACGCATTCTGAAAGAAGACTAGGGAACATTTTTAAAAATTTATATAGCATAATTATCTTCAGTTTAATTGTTAAGCAACGAAATATTTGGTGAACGAGATTCGTTATCAAGCATCGTAAATGTATGTAATTTTAGATGTGGTAACCACAGAGAGGAAGCCTCCGTGTCGCAACTCATTCACATTCGTGCATTGCTGAGATAAACGTGACCAGAATGTGTAATAGCCTCATTAGTTTTTGTGCTCAGATATATTAATGGTAGATGTAAAGTGATTATAATGGGCTAGAACTTGATGCAAATTAAGTTAAAGAAATCTACGTGAAGAGGGAATTAGTATGAGCTGCAACTACTGACGCAAGGACTGACAAAGGTTCTCTTTAATTATACTGAGTAGACGCAATGCCAGAAGTTGGTCGTGTGTTATGTAGTGATATAGGAGGGCTCGAGTACCCTTAAATTTAACGTAATCAAAGTGATGCCAAATGTGTATGATGGCTGAATGACTGTTGCAGCTGCGACAGGAACTAGGTGAAGTAAATGCATGTGAATGGATAAACCCTTAGAAAAATGAATAGGCCAAATAGTGACACTTTCGTACCCACAACACGGGCAGAGAACAGACGTACGAAAATTATATATACCCCTGAACTGGGTCCAGATAACCGGTACATGGAATGGAATAAATGGCATTGCCGTATGAACAATGGCATGATGTTTCTGTTCGAGATTGTGACGTTGATGTTCGAGATTGTGATGTTGATGTTCGAGATTGTGATGTTGATGTTCGAAATTCGGGATTCATGTTCGAGATTCGCCGAGCTAGAGTACAGTGAGGTTATCAATTTCGTCCACACACTATCGTGCTTAGCTAAAAAATCCTAGGCCGAATTATCTGAATCTGAAAATTAAAAAATATATACGTATATATCTAAGTCTGAATAACCTCTGCATTAACGGGTTGACTTCAGTTTGATTGAAGCAATAAAATGCAACTAAATATTTGACGTTCAAATAACGTTCATTAGACGTTTTTTGAACGAAATCAACGTTTTTAACGTCATTCGCCTGGGAGCATCGAACTATCTTAGTGATCGTAAAGAGTGAATGAATTAAAAAAAATCAGATTTCTGATTTACAATTGTTAGGGTAATCTTAAAAGTGAGTTGATGCATATATAGGTTGATGGATTTACAATGTTAAACTAATTTTAGAGACTACGTTGTCTTGAATTATCTTCACATTGAATATAGTGTTTTCTTCACATTGAAAAATACCTTGAACGCGAGGCAAAGGTCTATTTTCCCACCTATTATTCTATTTCCTACCTATAGATCTATTTCCCACCCTATATATTTCTTACCTATTTATAATTTACTTATTGCTAACTTACGATTTGCATGTTATCTGCTATCTTCATGGGACTTCATCATCCGTAGCCTGTGCGAAGAAAAACTAGTAAAGAAAATCTTTGTGAACTCCGACATCGAAGTCGTTAATTAAAGGAAAATGTTTCACTCTAGTATCTCACCGTCACCAAGGAATGATGATAAAATTAAAATACTTTCTCGCACTTTTATGATCGAAAAACTCCTTGCTGAAAGTCACATTTAATATAAACTTCTTTGAAATTATGCGGGAAAATAAAATTTCCGCTGTGAGATGATATTTCAAGTTATTCAATGGTCTACGTTCCTCTTTGAATTGCAGTAAATTGCCCTGATTTTAATGTCATCCTCACGTTCCGAATGTATCTCCAGAAACGTTGTTGTCATAGAACTTGATGCAAATTAAGTTAAAGAAATCTACGTGAAGAGGGAATTAGTATGAGCTGCAACTACTGACGCAAGGACTGACAAAGGTTCTCTTCAATTATACTGAGTAGACGCAATGCCAGAAGTTGGTCGTGTGTTATGTACGATGGCAGTGAGAAAGGAGGGGGAGTGTTCGAGTACCTTTAAATTTAACGTAATTAAAGTGATGCCAAAATGTGTATGAGGGCCAGGAATTTAAAAGTAAAGAAAATAGCAAAAAGGTCCCCAATTCTTATAACCGAAAACGATAGCCAGTTCAAAACCTAGAACACAGGTACAAACAATTAGTAGCCTAAAATTCATATTCAAACAATTCACGTAAACTTGAGGACATTAGAACTAAAATCGAAGATAACAGAAATAAAAATGAGATAACAGATAACTTTATATATTTTCAAACAGAAACCCAGCTCAAATGCTGCATTCAGTTCCTATCCTCTAGAAATTGTAAATATATAGTACCCTCTCTACATGTTATCTCATTTTTATTTCTGTTATCTTCGATTTCAGTTCTAATGTCCTCAAGTTTAGGTGAATTGTTTGAATATGAATTTTAGGCCACTAATTGTTTGTACCTGTGTTCTAGGTTTTGAACTGACGATGGAGCTGGACTCCGAAACGTTTTTGCTTATAAGAAATGGTGAACTTTTTGGCTATTTTTTTTTACTTTTAAATTCCTGGTAAATTTGCGACTTAGGCAGCCAAGTGATTTTAATACGTGTATGAGGGCTGAATGGCTGTTGCTACTCGGACACAAACTAGGTAAAGTAAATGCATGTGAATGGACATACCCTTAGAAAAATTAATGGGTCAAATAGTGACACTTTCGTACCCACAACACGTGCAGAGAACAGACGTACGTAGCACTTATACCCCTGAGCCGGGTCAAACTGGGTCTAGATAACCGGTACTGCATGAAATGAATAGCATTGTCGTATGAACAGTGGCATGATGTTGATGTTGTGGTGTTGATGTTCGAAATTGTGATGTTGATGTTCGAGGTTGTGCTGTTGATGTTCGAGATTGTGATGTTGATGTTCGAGATTGTGATGTTGATGTTCAAGACTGATGTTGATGTGCGAGGTTGCGGTGTTGATGTTCGAGATTGTGATGTTGATGTTCGAGGTTGTGCTGTTGATGTTCGAGATTGTGGTGTTGATGTTCGAGATTGTGATGCTGATGTTCGAAATTATGATGTAGATATTCGAGATTGTGATGTTGATGTTCGAGATTCGAGACTGTGATGTTGATGTTCAAGATTGTGATGTCGATGTTCGAAGTTGTGGTGTTGACATTCGAGATTGAGATGTTGATGTTCGAGATTTTGATGTTCGAGATTGTGATGTTAATGTTCGGAATTAGGGATTCATGTTCGAGACTTGCCA